ATTGGGTTTAAAAAAACAAAAAACAAAATATTAAATCAAATAACACCGATGAAATCAATAAATACTTCCAATAAATATAGACAGGAAGTGAGTGTTTTGAACCTGGGCACTGGAGGTGGATGTAAATCTTTCATCTCCCAGCAGAAACCTGATGATGTGGGTCTTAGATAAAGGGCATCCCCCAGAGGTTTGCCTCCTTCCCCCAAACCTCCAAATATCACAAGCCCCCCTCCATAGGGACAAGCTGAATGGGAGTGGCGGGCTTCCGGACCAGCACCAACAACTGTAATCTGATGGAAGCACAAAAAAAGATGATATAACAGTCACTCTTGAGATGTGATGGCTATTTCAGAATATACACAGGACCATTTTTGCACCCTCAGAAGGTCTCTTTTATGGGACATGCACTACTATTAGATTGTTAAGGCTCTTTTTTTGCTCACATTATTTTCAACATTTAGATATGAAGTTCATTCATGCATTTGGGAATGAATTCTTTATTTCAAACAATATTTTTATGTTATGTTGTTTAAAACATATTTTCTGAAATCCTAATAGATGTAGCATGATGCTTGCAACATTAAAATAAATGTCCAATTTCCAGCTAAGTTAACATATGCATGAACTAATAAAAAATGTATACCATCAACGGCAATGGAATTAAGATAAAGAGCATCCTTTTCTTTTCTTTAGGAATTTTCACCTTTATTGGTATAGGAAAGTAGAGATTTTACAGACAGGAAATGTGGGGAGCAGAGATGGGGGAAGGATCGGCAAAGGACCTTGAGCCAGGAATCGAACTCAGGTCACCGTGAGCACCTTGGTGCTTTATATCGCACTAGACTATTGGCGCAGACAGATAAAGAGCATCTGCCAAATGTATAAATCAGCTCTATATTTTACAGTATGCATAAACTTAAAAAGGTTAAGGTTAGGTTTGGGGGTAGGCCAAGGGATGGTGCCTAGTTATAGTATGCAAATGCAAAGCTAAAAAGGGTGTTTTATATTTTGACATAATGCTTTAAAGAAGTAGTTTTGCAACCACTCTGAACAAACTCACCATCAAATTGTATGTTTTCAATGTGTTTTAATACATGCCTCAGTCCAGTGCTTGTCTTCCAAACACAGGAAATGTGCATCTCCTAGAATCGGATCCTTTTCAGAACGTCCTCCAAACACAAACAGAAAGGTCTTGTCTGAAATTACACATGAACAAGACGTTATTGCTTGCCTCTTATATTGCACAAAATATTTAGAGTGAAAAATCTCACCGTTGTAGCATATTAAAGTAGATGTGTGTCGCCATCGTGGCTTTGGACCAGTGCCAGTACAAACTATGTTCGTGAATGAAAGTTGTACTTCATCAGCAAGGTCAGCGGTCACCAAAACGACACTGCCTGATGGACTAAGTGGAGAAGATCGGCCTCCGAAAAGAACGACTCCACCACCAGGGACAGAAGTCAACGTCTGATAAAGACTCACCACTGAGAACAGCAAATGCCAGGTATTGCCTTATCACTTATAAACCGCTCAAACTGGTTATTTTGAAAAATTACAATAAGCAGGTATGAACAATAATAGATTTCAATAAGCTAATATTATTTTAATATTTTGGCTCCTTTTGGCTGTGATTTTTTTTAGCTTCCAACCATTGATAATCACCTTTATCTCCATGTACTTCTACACAGGCACTTTTCCAGCCACACTTCTCTTTGATCAGGACCCTTGCTGCAGTGTCTCTTCCATTTCTTCCAAAGCCTCCAGTGAGAAGGATGATTTCAGGGGTCAGAAGGGCAGATGCCATACCAAGAGCCTCCACAGACGGTGATCCACACATGGGCTGAACGACCAGAGGAGGATGTGTGTTCCATTGAGGAGTCATTTGGGGAATGGAGGATGCTAGGAAAAGAGCGCATGCATCTTGATTTATCACGCCACCTTCCCTAGTCAAATATGTAATGTAGGTGTTTATACTTACTATTTGGTAGCGTGAGAAGAGCTTGCCTGGTCACAGAGCCTTTGGAGGCAGTAAGGATGAAGTAATGAGAACATTTCTGATGCCATTCCTAGTAAAGATAAACATGTCATTTGGTCAGACTCAGTGGTCATGCTGAGATCATTCCGACATTTTTGTTGTTGTTTCTGAGAATGAGTTCATTTGCTCACCTCAAACTCATCAAACGGCTCCAGATTTTCGATTCTCTGCCTCTCATCTTCAGGAAGAAGATCAAAATAAAACTGGTTCATGTCCAGACAGTGACATTTTTCCCAGCCCTGTGGCAAATAATGATCTGTTAATCTGAGATAAATGTTGATAAATTATATAATAAGAAATGTTTTATGTAGTGTGTACATATACATGGTAAATAATAAGAAATACAATGATGCTCAAATTTATTGCAGCATATCGTAGAAACCGCAACAATCTCTTTTGTTTAAATGTGTTTTTAAATCTAAGTAAATTTTTTTTGATTATGCTTACAGCACTAACAATGTGAGAGCAAGATTTTGGCCGAGGACAGAAAAGAAGTAAAGACAACTTACCTATATTCAAGTTAGGGCTGTACAATATATCGCTTCAGCATCGATATTGCAATGTGTGCATTCGCAATAGTCACATTACAGGATATGCAATGTTGGGATTATAGTTTAATATAGAGTTTAATCATAATGGAGTAAAAGTTTATCATCTTAAGCAAGCTCACCCCAAAATGACTTGCTATTTTCATTACACCCTTCACTTAATTCAAACATTTATGAGTTTTCTTTTTTCAGTGAACACAAAAATATATAATTTAATAACTCTTATTGTATTGAAACAAGTGAAGTGTGAGTAAATAGTGAGTAAATTTTGTTTTTTGTGTAAACTGTAAACTTTAAGGCCTGTGTGAACATTTCAATATTTCAAATTTTAAAACATTTAGCCACAAGAATTTTTTCGTAACTGTAAAAAAGATTAAATAATTTACAATAACGAACAATGCAGTGTTGATTATTCAATATCTGTGTCTGAATAGTCAATCCCTGAAAACTATAATTCGCTTTTATCTTGACTATATTTTATTTATCTATGCTTGTAATTTATTTGTTATATATTATTTGAGATTCACTCAACAAAATCCCCCCAATCAAGCCAAATAAATCTGTTAAATCAACTGGTGAAAGTGTATTCACATCGCAATATATATATCACAGAAATACTAAATACCGTAACGTCAGATTTTCCCAATATTACGCAGCCCTAATTCAAGTATACAGACATTTATGCTAATTTCCATGACTTTTCCAAAACTTTGTGAGTTTCCTGTTTTTTTTTTAAATTCCATGACTTTTCCAGGTTTTCCATAACTGTACAAACCTGGATGTTTATTTAAACTATCAATGTTGCAAATACATTGCTGCTTAATATGTGTGTGGAAACTATAAACCAGTTTTAATGAAGAGAAAATAAATACAGTATAAAAAAAAAAATTAAAAAGTAAAATAAAATCTTTCACTTTTGATTAAGTGCATCTTTACTAAAATAATGTCTCTTTATATATATATATATACATATATATATATATATATATATATATATATTAACAGAGCAAGAAAATTTTTACAGTATGTCTGTTTCGGCAAGAATAAAAGCAGATATTTTTTTTTTTAAACATCATTTTAATGACAAAATTATTAGCCCCTTTAAGCCAAATTTATTTCCAATAGTCTACAGAACAAACCATTGTTATACAATAACTTGCCTAATTACCCTAACCTGCCTAGTTATCTTAATTAACCCAGTTAAGCCTTTAAATGTCACTTTAAGCTGTATAGAAGTGCCTTGAAAATTATCTAGTAAAATAGTATTTACTCTTCATGGCAAAGAAAAAATAAATCAGTTATTAGAAATGGAGTGATTTAACCTATTATGTTTAGAAATTTGTTGAAAAAAAAAAACTCTCCATTTAACAGAAATTAAAAAATAAACGGAGTGTAACAATTCAATATATATATATATATATATATAGAGAGAGAGAGAGAGAGAGAGAGAGAGAGCCAACTATATGAATACACATAGCCGAATAGACATTATCGTCAATATACTATTTCTAACTAACTCATTTCAATGACATCCCACTTATTCTGTTTCATTAAAACATTAATATTAATTTAATTACTTTAAATTTAAAAAAAAGGCCATGAAATCTTAATACAAGACTTACTTCCTGTATGAATCTCTGGGTTTGAGCCACATTGTCTGGATATTGTTGTAGAGAATGAATTTTAGAGTTGAGCTTAAGGAAGTGGCTCTGCATGACTCTGCCAAATGGGTCATCTGGGTGGATCTGTTCATACATCACGAACATAGACTGTGGGAGGAGCCTGGCAGCCCAGCCAATCACAGCATCCGACCTAGAGAAAAAAAGACAAAACACAAAGTGATAAAAATACACTAAACTGTTTTCAAAACAGTGAAAGCTGCAGTATTTTGTTCAGGATTCATTTAATGAGCAAGCACATGAATCCTGTCTCACACAGAATCATAACAGGACTATATTTGATCTGTCGGGTCGATCATTAGTAGCACAGTACATAAGTGAATTGTCATATCCATAAATAGAGAAATGTACCTCAGGCTACAAATAGAAGCATGCTGTTTTATTTAATAACCTCGAAAAGTGCCAAACATTGCTGCAGCTTTTAGTATGGCCTTCTTTTATAGTACAGTAGAACAAAAAAGGGAAACAATTAGATAATCAAAAAGACAATGACATCAGGATAACAAGCAGACTGCAGAATGATTACCAAGGCTCAGTGTTGTCCCACACTGAATTCACATCCTCACCATTGCGTCTCCATGTAAGTCAGCACCACCTCTGACAGGATGAGTGTAGGATTGTCCCACTGCAGTCCAGCTGCGCTCAGACTTGCCTCCACCTCCTGCTCCTTCCTGACATCCGCACCAATCAGATTATAATGACCACTGCTGATAAACACAGCATCTATATATGGATAGGAAACACACGGTCATTGTTCTAACACATAGCATGTTTTGGAAACACAGACAGACTTGGAGGATTTCACTAGAAATTGCTAATATTTTTCTTATGAATAATACAGTTTATATACTGAAGGGTTTCTATGGTGCTGGAAAATCAGGAAAAGTCATGGAATTTTGAAAAAAGCATTTTCCAGGCCGGCGAGGCAGTGGCGCAGTAGGTAGTGCTGTCGCCTCACAGCAAGAAGGTTGCGAGGTCGCTGGTTCGAACCTCGGTTCAGTTGGCGTTTCTGTGTGGAGTTTGCATGTTCTCCCTGCCTTCGCGTGGGTTTTCTCCGGGTGCTCCGGTTTCCCCCACAGTCCAAAGACATGTGGTACAGGTGAATTAGGTAGGCTAAATTGTCCATAGTGTATGAGTGTGTGTGAATGTATGTGTGGATGTTTCCCAGAGATGGGTTGCGGCTGGAAGGGCATCCGCTGCATAAAAACTTGCTGGATAAGTTGCCGGTTCATTCCATTGTGGCGACCCCAGATTAATAAAGGGACTAAGCTGACAAGAAAATGAGTGAATTAATTTTTCAGGCCTGGAAAAGTTTTAAAAACATAAAATAAACCCAAAATATTTTGGAAAAGTCATGGAAGTTGGTTTAAAAAAATATTTATGTACTCAAATTTATTTGAGATGATAATATTGGGTTAATTTGTAATACAGTTGCGCTGTCTGTCTCTTCAAATGCCTGTAATTCAAGCTACATTGAGTGTCGTGTACAGAAACAATCTCAAACTACAGAGTTAAGATATTGAGTGTGCTAAAGGCTGATTTTTTTTATTTGTTTTTATTTAACAGGGATAATACATAGACAACCAATGTCACATACATGGAGCATATGACATGAAGCTAATTTGCTGCCTTCATCCCTGGTTAGGGTTTTAAATAAAAATAAATGAATAAAACCATGATACAACAAACATGTATGTACAGAGCCACAAACATAAAATGTAAGTGCATCTGCATACTAAATCTGCACACTACTATTCTACATTAAAGTCTATTCTACATACTACTACAGTATATAGATTTGTACTAATCATATAAGTCTTGTAAAAACACAAACCAAATATTTTCTAAAATATTTTAAGCAAGATACTTTCTAAAACTATTTTACCAATATAAAAATAAATAGAAACTACATACTTATTTTTTGATATGCTGTAATAAATATGATGATACATTTCTTTTTTCTTATTTACTACATTTGTAGACATTGCAAGACACATTAGGTCATAAATATTTACCTGAAAGTTTTGGAAAAGTCCTGGAATTTTAGTAGTCCAAATGTGTATGAACCCAGATATTGTAATGTTTAATAAAAATTATTTATTACATTATATTTGTTTATATTTTAAATAATTATTGCTGACAAATTGGTAAAAAACAGTGACAAAATATAGACATTTCAAATTAATTAGTAATTGTTTGGTTGCTACCTTTTAGAAGATTGTATTATGTTATTTTTTTTGTTGACATGTTGAATTAAAGTTTCCAGAAATATGATTTTAAAAAAATGTGTTATGGGTTATAGTCCAAAAGTACAAAACCTAAATAATAATAGCAAATAGATTAACTAATTATTTAACAAACTAAAAAATATATATGACTAAAAATAAACATAGAAAATAATAACAATCATTAAAAATAAATAAATACATAGATGGAGGTAAATAAAAAAGGAAAACATCAAACCATCAACAAGTACTAATATTGGTGATGATAAGTTTTGGCAACATGGTGGCTCAGTGGTTACCACTGTCGCCTCACAGCAAAAAGGTCGCTGGTTCGAGTCCCAGCTAAGTCAGTTGGCATTTCTTTGTGGAGTTTGCATGTTCTCACCGTGTTTGTTGGGTTTCCACTGGGTGTTCTGGTTTTTCCCACAGTCCAAACATACACAAAAAGGCCTAATTTACACTTTTGATATTTGAAAGTCCCTTTTTGTCTTTTTTCAGTCATGACAAAAATCTTATTGTTCATTTAATCTATTAATAATATGTGAATGTCTTACTTGTCTGCTTATTTAGGACAGTCTCCCAATCTGGCAACAAGTCCTTCAGGCAAGCATTGCTATTGATCAAGGCAGCTTTGCGACGGGCAACTTCTGGAAAGTCAACTTCAAAAACAGTGACACCTCCAAGGGCTCCTTCTGCACGCAGCCGGAAAAACAGCGAGTCAAACCCCGCTCCCAGTGACAGAATCTGACATTAAGATAAGGAAATGATCAAATCTTTCATTCTCCACACTTTCAGAAGAACTCTCAAACACTAAACAAGGACATTTCTTCCTACCTGTCTCCTGGAGCAGGATTTTGTTGCATGGAGAAACTGCTTCACACAGTGATCGACTGCCTTCCAGCGCACATAATAACCTCTGACAAAGAAATATACACACATCATAGATATAAGCTCTCTTGTATGACAATATAATTATCAAAACAGCCTGAACTTTCCCAAACTTTTACCTATTAATGAGTGGAGCTCTTCTTGACATCTTGCACACAAAATGCTTGAGGAAATCATCATGGAAGTAGCCCTGTGCCGCTGCTGACACCTTACTGACCACACTGCTGTCATTTGTCCCTTGTACCTGAGGGTGAATGTAAAAGGAAAAAAGGTATTTCATAAAGAATGTCACAGCTTGGAAGCACACAAGTGTGAGATGATGACAGCATTTGGCTTTTTTTGTTTGGTGATCTAACCCTTTAGGTTTAGCGCGTTTCATTTATCTAAAATGTATATTATAAATAGGTCTGAATTAGGCATGGGATGATAACCGTTTTGAAGTATACCGTGGTTTGAAAAAGTCAAGGTTTTAAAACTGACAACACTTCTCTGCTACTGTTCCTATGGTATATGTAAGATTTTTAATTTTTAATTTTTGGTTTTGTAGCACAACAGTATCTCCAGCAGAAAAGATCTTTAAAGATGCTGTCTTAAATTGTAATGAAATCAGTGTTTTTGAAACTAATGAAGACAGCAGAAGTCAATGATTCATTTTAATTATTTAGCCTGACATGTTTACTGCTCCAAAATATTTTAAATGTTTCTCAAAATAAAATATATTGTGTACAAAGGGGCAAAAAGTTTTTGTTTTTTTACCCCGACATTTAAAAGACCATATATTAAAGTGGTAATCACAATACCGTTAAACCATGAAACCATGACATTATTTTATCCAAGGTTATCATACCGTCAGAATCTTATACCAGCCCATGTCTAGTCTGAATTGTTATTAATTTATTATTTTTACAAGGTTTTCAACATTTTTTCCTAGTCGTTATAGTACTTTTTTTGGCATGCATAGACACATTTGTTTACTTATTTTAATAATTTTTTATTAATCACTTTATTCCAGTTGAAAATTATATATTTAATATAATTCAAAATATTTATTTCATTTAGCCATTTTTTAATTTTTATAATATTTTAAATCAAATATGAATTTGTTTTTAATTATTGGGTTAATGTTTTTATCCAATTTGTTATTTATCTCTTTCACCTTATTAATTGTTATATACTATATATATATATTAGTTGTAGTAGTATGCACCCTGTGTATATTCATTTATTTATTTATTTTGCTGTCCTTTTCTTATATCACTCGATACTCTTTTATAAATTATATTTTAAAACAATCTCTATACTATAAATGATTTGTTTTCTTAAAATGTATGTAGTACAAATTTGTATGAACCCTGATATAGTAATATTTAATGAAAATTATTTACTATCCTATATTTGTTTATATTTTAAATCATTATTGCTGATAAATTGGTAACTCCTTGTTGTAAGAAAAACATTTCCACTTACTTTTTTTTCTTTCCATTTACTGGCTTCGAAGGCAGGGGTTTTTGATTTGGGAGCCCTTAGCAATTTCAGCCATGGGGCCCAACAGTCAGTTGCACCCCAGCAGTCAATTGCACCCCAGCAGTCAGTTGCAGTAATATCAATATAATATGTAATTACTTTGCTGTTCTTTTCTTACATCACTCAATCTCCTTTAATTCATTCATTCATTTTGTTTTCAGCTTAGTGGCTTTATTAATCTGGGGTTGCCACAATGGAATGAACCGCCAGCGCATGCTCTTCCAGCCGCAACCCATCACTGTAAAACATCCATACACACTCAATCACACACATAAAATACGGACAATTTAGCTTACCCAATTCACCTGTACTAGAGGTTTATGGACTTGTGGGGTAAACCGGAGTGACCGGAGGAAACCCATGCCAACACGAGGAGAACATGCAAACTCCACACAGAAATGCTAACTGACCCAGCCGAGGCTCAAACCAGCAACCTTCTTGTTGTGAGGCGATTGTGCTACCCACTGCGCCACCGTGCTGCCCTTTGCTTTAATACTTTATATTTTAATACAATCTCTACACTATAAATTATTTGTTTTCTTAAAATAAATTCACAATTTAAAACAATAAATCAACTATTTAATTTTTAAAACTAAATTTTTTGTTACCTGAATAAACTGCTCTGATTAGGGGCGGGGGACAATTTTGCATGCAATAATGACGTTAAAATTTGTTAGACCTTCACCAACATATGATAGTAAACTATGTTACATAATTTGTAGGTATAATTTATGCTTCCATACATTTATCGGGGGCTCCCAGATTCTCTGGGGGATTAAGTGACTGTTTACCTTATTTATTGGTTAAATCCCGCCCCTGCCTTTGGCCCCTAGACACCTCACACTCCAGTTCACATATTGTCATCATATATTATATAATTTAGTATTTTTATTATGCAGTACCACTACTAAACTACGCCAGAGAACCATAATACGGGATACTTTTGACAGTTTTTAAGTGGCGAAAATACATTTCAATGACATGATTCCTAAAGTTAATGGCACTGAGCCTATCCTGTTACAACCAACATAAACTGAATTTAAACACTGGCAGACTCACGGCAGCATCTTTTCCTTGTTCTCTTTTTCTGTTTACTGGCATCACTCTCTGGACACACGTGTAGTCTTCACTGTGAACAACAAGGAAGCAGCACAGCGGAAGCGGCTTCCTTTCGTCTATGACAAAAGCTTTTACAATTAAACCTTACAAGTCTAAGCAAAATACGTTCATTCAAACATATAAACATGTGTACTTTACATGCCGAGTGTCGGTACTTGTACCGTAGGATTGTTCCAAAGACAATTAAAGGGATTTTTATTGTACACAGCATCACATTACTTTTAACAAGTAGTTGTTATTTACTTTTTTAGTTTGATATAAAAATAAGATTTTATAAATACTGACTAAATGTATTATTTTAAAATGGTTAATGCACAACATATTTTGGTAAAGCGTTTTGAATTGTATATAGACTTTTCAGCAACATCCTGGACGTCATTTCCGCTAAACGTTAGCGTGATGCTGAACTAGGAAACTTGCTCTGATCTAAACAGGAGGAAAATTAAAGGTTTGAACTGTATTTTATCTCATTCAGTTTTCATGTTGTTTATTTTGCTAAACGTGTGAATGTAACGTTAACAGCATTTCTCAAAATACCGAATCATCGCGTTAATCTTACATTAAACTCTCCAGATACATGAAACTGGTGAGTAGTCATCTGTACTCTCACATTGCTTTGTATTATTTTCGTTGAGCGTATTTATTTCATACTTTTTGCGTGTAACTGAAGTACAAATTTAAGACAACATAAACTTATCTTCGTTTCTAAAGTAATTAACCCTTAGACATCGTTCTTAAATGAGCTCCTTTTATTTACGTGTTTAAACTCCATGTTAACCTGAATGACTGCTGTTAACACGGTAAAAAAAATTCTGATTGATATGTTTTCCATAATGGTTTCTGCATGGTGCATCTTAGACCTTTAACTAATCTTTCTGACATTTCTAACCTTACAAAGATTTCAGTGACAAATTGAACATTGCTGTTTTGACTTCAGCTGATATTCCTTTAAATGGCACCTATTTTACCCCTTAATCAAGATTTAAGATAAGTCTTTTGTGTCTCCAGAATGGGTCTGTAAAGTTTCAGCTCAAAACACCTCTCAGATTATTTATTATACCTTTAGAAGTTTGGAATTTTCTGCTTTGAACACAATGTAGCTGTTTTTGTGGCCTGCGCCCTTAATGCCAATTCACCCTGCCCACCGTTCCCTCGTGCCTGTCGGAGTGTGCCTCAATCTCTGCCTCGGCTGCGACAGATAAACAGCACAGTGACAAAAAGATCTCCCGTAAAGTTTGTGAGAAATACTTCAGTAAGAAATCTCCCAATGATTATTTGATGTATTTGTTGTGGAGTTAATTCAAGCCTTTCTATGATGAGTCGCACACAATGTTGTTAGAAAGTTTACACAGACACACACACACACAGGGATGGGACGATAAACAGTTGTGAATAGTAAAAGTTTTAAAACCGTAATGTTTTCAGTTATACAGTTTCTAAGGTATGTGTATGTTTTTTTGTTTTTTTTTCACGATTACTTTAGTTAGTTTTTTTAGGGCAACAGAATCTCCAGCAAAAAAGGAACCTCTACACTAAAAGCTACTGGTCTAATATATATATATATATATATATATATATATATATATATATATATATATATATATATATAAAATAAATCTATTGTGTTCAATAGGGGCAAAAGTTGTTGTGTCCCAGACATTTAAAAATAATTTATTTTGGAGGAATAATTACAATATCGTGAAACAGTGATATTTTTTCCAAGGTTATAAAATCAGAATCTTATTCCGGCCCATGCCTACACACACAGTGCGCGCATTTAACTTTGCACTGTTTTTGCACGTAAATGTGACAGGAGGATACACATTAATATCCCCTGCTTTATGGACATCCATTATGTTAATGTACAAAATAAACCTGATTTAACATCCACAAACGGATTGAAAGGTCTTCTTTTTTTAATTGTACTGACCTGGGGCTGTGGTTATAAAGACGGTAAAATCGCTTGCGTGTAGTCTTCTTGTTGATATCTTGTTGATATGATTTTACTCGTTACTGCGATGACATGTTAATATGAGGCTGTCAATCAGTTCAGTGGGCAGGAAAACTGCGCTCCTACATCACAGTGCAGTGGGTCTTAAAATGGGATGGATTTGGATGCTATTTCAACATCAGGAAATAGAAAAAGAGACCTATTGTCTTTATATCACTCCAATATGACTGTGGACACACTTTACTTACAGTTGTGTCCAAACAGCTCACAAAAGATGATTTTTATGATAGGTGCCCTTTAAGGTAAAATTATCTAGTTATTTAAAAAAAAAGATTGTAGAAATACTATTGAAAATGACCTAGGGCTGGGTGATATGGCAAAAATGCAATCTTAATAATTATTTTCCATATTGAATGATAACGATATATATATTTCAATAGAAGTTGCTAATGCTTTCAAATTTAAAAGAGAGGTTTACCCCCAACAATGACTGAAGCCACAAAAATTAAAAGCTTTATTAAACCATTAACAGGCCTAACATATGCCAAAGCAATGGCAAAATATCTCTAATAACCACACACTTTTACATTCCCATTGTTTACATTTCTGCTGTGTGATTGGCTCTTAGATCAATTAAAGTAAAAACGTCCAGAGCTCATCATTGTTATTGACAAATTTTATTGCGATTTGATATGATATTGTTTATCAGCCCAGCCCTAGAATGACTCTTGAAAGCATCAGTTATTAACAAACAACCGAATTATGATGTTGTTTATTAAATGAGGGATTTAAGGCGCTATATTACAGTTTGACAGTTAAAAGTATTCCTATATATATATATATATATATATATATATATATATATATATATATATATACACACACACACAAAATGATTTTATAAGTTAAGTTAAATAAGTTTCATTGTTGTTTTCATTGTCATATTTTTGATGTAGGTGAGTGCTGTAAAGGTGTCAGAAAGTTTAACCTGGTCCCATAAAATCAATGTGCTGTGTTTTTAATATAAAATAAACACCCCAGGGGTTGCAAAAATAAATCAATCCATCAATCAAATCAAAAGGTTGATGGCTTTTTATTTTCATGTTGGTTTTGTAAATGTAAGTATTAACTACTAATCTTTTCTTCTGTATGTCATGGATAAAATATGGTAAGCAGGTGATTTTTCAGAAATTTTCTGTTTTTTTACTTTTCACAGACCTTCCTCCAAGAAACCTAAAGTTCAACTCTTCACTGTCTTGCATAAAAGACAAACTGACCCTTTATGACAGCACATTCTTGGTCCTGAAATATCTCTTCATCTGCTGCTCTCTCAATCCCTCTTTCTTTTAGTTTTTCCTCATTCCCTATCCTTCATCATGACTGAACCTGAGCTGCTCACAGAGGTGCCTGCCTCTCTCAAACGGCTGGCCAAGCAGGTTGTGCGGGGTTTTTATGGCATTGAGCATGCTCTCGCTCTGGACGTGCTGATCCGAAACCCCTGTGTACGTGAAGAGGACATGCTGGAGTTGCTCAAATTTGACCGCAAGCAGCTGCGCTCGGTTCTGAACACGCTCAAAGCCGACAAGTTTGTCAAATGTCGTATGCGTGTGGAGACGGCACCTGATGGGAAGACAACGCGACACAACTACTATTTTATTAATTACAGACTGCTGGTTAATGTGGTGAAGTACAAGCTGGACCACATGAGGAGACGCATTGAGACTGATGAACGGGACTCTACTAACAGAGCCTCCTTCCGCTGCCCCTGCTGCACCAACACATTCACTGACCTTGAGGCCAATCAGCTGTTTGACCCGATGACTGGTGAGTGGAAAACTGGAAGTCTATGAGAAAATAAGACTTATTTTGGATGGCATGTTTTCAATACTTTAAGGGATAGTTTACTCAAAAGTGAAAATGATTATAATTTATTCACCCTTCTTTTGTTCCAAACACAAAAGAAGTTATTTCGAAAAATGTTGGAAACCAGAAACCATTGACTTCTATAATACTTGTCTTTCTTACTTGCTTTCAGTGGGTAATAGTTTCTAACATTCTTCAAAATATCTTATTTTGTGTTCAGCACAAAAAAAAAAACTCATAATGATTTGGAACCACTTGAAGGTGAGTTAATATTACATTTTTTGGGTGTACTATCCCTTTAAGATATACATAAGGGCCAGGCCCCGATTGGCTAATCGGGAGGACCGGGAGAATTCCCGGTGGGCCGGTCCGTTTTTTGGCCGCGAGGGCCGGTGTCCCTAGCTCCAGAATCTGTTGCTCTCAGCAGTCACACTTTTTAAATTAATTTATTTACTTACTTGACTACAGTCTTCTTATTCATTATTTTACCGCAGCTCTGCTCTTTTTATATATAACCAGCCTACAGGTTAATGATGATATTAGTCAGATGAGTCAGTTCTTCATATACAACTGTTGTGGTCCAGTGGTTAGCACGTTAGACTACGACGCCGCTGACCCAGGTTTGATTCTTGTCTGAGTATGTTTTTTTTTTTAATTATAGTTTTATTGTTAAGACATATAATACTGTTAGGGTTTTTGAACATTTAAAGTTCTAAAGCAGCTGTTTTCTCAAAAAAAAAAAAAAAAAAAAAAAAGACGTGATAGTGTAATTAGAAACTGAATTGGAAATGACCTTATTTTAATATAGTCAGTCGTGAACTGAGGTGGGCCGGTCTAAGGCTTGAAACTCCAGGGCTGAAAAAGAGTCCCACTCCGGCCCTGATAAGGGCCTTTGTAAAAAAAAGTTATTGTGTATATATATTAGTTGGCCAAATGACAATATGGTATAGTAGACTCAGAACGAATCAATACTTTTTTTGGAAAGAAATTAATACTTTTGCTTAGCAAGGACTCAAAGACACTTAAATTAATAAAACAATACCAGTAAAATAATTAGTAATATTAAAAGTATTAAATATTGTTAGAGCTATTAAATAAAAAATGTTAAAGTAATATCTAAAATTATTCCAATTTTTATTTTTAAAAATGATCTTCTTTCAGACTTTCT